GGAGGCCCCCCGCCAGAAAGCCGATGGGGCGGACGGGACGAGCGCTCACCGGTACCAGGCGAGGCCGCGCTCGTAGCACCTGTCGAAGAAGTGGGGCTCCGAGCCGAGCGCGCGGACGTCGGGGTGCAGCCGCAGAAACTCCAGTAGGGCGCGCGTGCCGCCCTTCTTCACGCCCACGATAAGCGCCTGCGGGAAGCGCCGGCGGCCCGAGCCACTGGCCACCGGCAGGCCGGACGTCCCTGGGCTGCGGGCTGCGCGGGGCGGCTCGGCGGGCGCGGGGGCTGGCGCGGGGATGCGGCCGGCCGGCGGGCAGCGTCCGGGGAGGGCGCAAAGGCAGTAGGCTCCGAGCACCAGAGCGGCGAACAGCAGAGGCGCACGGGGCGCCCGAAGCGTGGCCCCAGGCCCGCCCCCGGCGCCCTGGCTGCCTCCTGCCCCGCCGCCCAGGCCGCCGCTACCTGCCATGGGGCCACACAGCTCCCAGGCCTGGGAGCGGGGGCTGCAGGAGGGCGCACATCCCCGCCCGCGCCGCGCTCAGTCCGCTTGCGCCCGGCTTCTGCTCTGCGCCCCACTGCCCAGTCTTCTGGGAGCCGAGAGGGACCAGTGCTAGGGCGGGATGCCCCGCCCAGCCCAGAGGCCCCGCCCCGCTTGAACCACTGCTCCACCCGGGACTCGCCGGCACCTACGGGCGCCGCTGCGCCATTCCGAGCCTCAGTGACTAGCCGGACGCGCCCGCTTGGAGACCCCAGGCCCCAGCCCGCTCGGGATGCGGCGGCGGCAGATTGGGACGCAGGACGGTGACAGGACTGAGCTGCTGGCCAAAGGACCCGCTCTTAGAGGGCCGATCGCTGCCCCTCCTGGACGAGGGCAGCGCGGCAGGTGCGCGGGAGGAACAAGTGGGCCAAGAAGTCGCGTGCACCTGGCCCTAGTGCGCAGAGGGGTTCCGGGAAGGTGGAGGGAAGTCTGCGGCGAGAATGGGGCGCATCTTGCTGATAGTTGGCTTGCCATTGCCATGCGTCAGGGTCACGGGCAGGGCGGTTGGAGAGGACTAGCCAAGTTGATTACCACTTTAAAGTCTGGGAGACAGGCTCAGGGAGGACAGGCGTCTTTCCCAAGGGCCCAGTGAAATTCAGACCTCAGTCTTCTGACCATTTTTACCATGTCACACGGTCTGTCTGTGCAGCCTAGTCCACCTGGTGTTGCCCTGGGATGTCAGTGACCCATCTCTGGCGCTGGCAAAGCGGCTCCTATTGGAGATGTGAAGGATTTGGGAGACCTGTGCTGGGGAAACTAGAAGGAGGAGTCGGGGTCCTGTCCTAGGAGCTTCCTCTGAGGGGCAGGGAGACTCAGGGGCCACTCCCAGTAATGAGACCTGCTGGGCGCTGGACACTCTGCGGGAGTTTTACGCACCCCCAGGCTCACTGAACCCCCAGCCCAGCACAAAGAAGGCAGAGGAGAGCTGGCTGGGAGAAGGTGAGCACAGCCCCAGGTAGAGACAGAATGGAACCCATGTCCTGCCTTTGCCTCTACCCCAGGCTTCCTGGCCTCAGGGTTGGTGCAGGTGGGCATGGGCTCCCCGAAGAGGCCAGCCTTCCTCCAGCCAATGCCCAGAGACTACTGCCCTGGCTTCTGCTGGTTAATGGGCTGCTCCTGAGCCTAATGGTATCTGGATCTAAGGGCAACCTCGAGCACTTCCCCAGGGCAGGGGCCTCCATGACCCACCCAGAGGTAGCCTTGGCCGGAAGAGGGTTCTGCAGAGCCAGTGAGGTGAAGACCACTGACCAGACCCTCAGCCCAGTTCCCAGATGCCATGCCTGCATCTGCTTGTCAGGGTATGACTCAGCCAGGAGCCCTGTCTGTGGGGTGTTGGCACAGCGCTGTCTGGGGTACATGCCGGCACATGCAGGGTCACAGGAAGTTCTTCTTCTGGTCTAGCTTAAAACGGGTTCTGGTTCTCCTTAGAGCCACCCACTCCACCTGCAGCACCCACCCAGAGCCTCAGCGGCCACCACTCAGGGCTCCAAATTCCAGCTTTAAAACCTGATGGCCCCTCCATCTCCCTGCCCAGCACAGGCACTGGCTAGGCACCCCCTAGCCTTTGCTCATGCTGTTCTCCCTGCTGGGAATGCCTTTTCCTTAGTCCCGCCCCCCACCACACACACACACACACACACACACTCACACACACAGATACACCTTGAGGGCTTTCCAGGAAGAACTTACCAAGAACAGCAGGACACCAAACATGCTGGGGGTGGGGGAGTGAGGTCCAGGGACAAGAGTCAGCTTGGTGTTTGGCATCTGATCCCCTCTCTCCACCCACCATCTGGTTCTCAGGTGAGGGGTGGGTGCAAATCTGAGGACATCCAGGATGGCAGCCTTGGGAAGTTTGTTCACCAGTGTACCTCACAGAGCCTGGTACCTGATAGGCACTCAATAGAGACAAGCCAGTGGAAGGATGGGAGTGGAGAGAGAGGCTGAAGGCTTTCTAGAGTAGGTGATTGTCAGGCAAGGAGCAGGACAGCATCCCAGTCGGCTGGGGAAAGGCCCAGCAGCAGAGAGCATAGTGATGGGATGGGGGTGGCGAGGAGGAGGAATGGGGTAGAGCCGAGGCTCATCCCTGAGGAGTGGGTCCCAGCCTCATCTTTCTCTAGCACATGGCCTCAGGCTCCTACCAGCCCAAATCTCTGGTCCCTAAAATAGAAACCTGACTCTGAAGGAAGAGCTTCATTGAAATGTAATTCCCATAACATGCAATTCGGCCATTTAGTTTCTCAAATTCAATGGTTTTCAGTATATCCACAGTGTTGTACAACCATCACAATAAATTTCAGAACATATTCATCACCCCAAAGAGAAATCCCAAACCCGTTAGAAGTCACTCCCTGTTCTCCCCTCCCCCAGCCCCTGGCAACCACTAATCTACTTTCTGTCTTTGTGAATTTGTCTCTTCTCCACATTTCATATAAGTGGAATCATACATTATGTGGCCTTTAGCAACTGGCTTCTTTCGCTCAGCATAGTGTGTTCAAGGATCATTTATGTTGTAGTGTGTGTGTCAATGCTTCATTCCTTTTTAGGGCTGAATAATATTCCACTGTATGGCTGGATCACATTCTGTTTATCTATTCATCAGTCAATGGACACTTCAGTTTTATCCACCTTTTGGTTATTGAGAATCATGCTGCTGTGAATGTTGATTTACAAGTTCTTTTGTGGACATATGTTTCATTTCTTTTGGGTATATACCTAGGAGTGGAATTGCTAGGTAGACAGTAACTACATTTAGCCTTTTATGAAGAGTCCTTTTGAAGGTTAAATCTGGGAATTTCAGAATCTACATCTCCATGCTCCTCACCCCCAGAGCTGCTGCCTTCCCTCCTCCCCAGGATGTCTGAGTGGCTCCTCCACTCTGCCTCTGCCCTGCTTTGCCATCAGAGTCCAGCCCCAGCTCCCCACTGTGTGATCTAGGGACAGTGAATCCCCCTCTCTGAGCCACAAGGTGAAAAGTCACTTTGGGGCCCCAAAAGAGACCAGGCCATGGGGGCACAGGGTGGGTGGCTGTCCCTGTGCCCTGAGAGGGTGGCTCAACTCCTGCCCTGTCTGGTCGCGCCTCCTGTCAAGAGAAAACAGGTGTCAGCCAGGCGCTTCTGCCCAGCCTGATCTCCCCTGGGGCCCCTCGGCTTTGAGGGCTCCACATGGCCCAATTTCAATTCCCCTTTCACCTTGTCTGGACCCCCATGCAGGATGGCCAGGCAGAGGTCCCTCCTTAGGCCAGCCATCAGATGAGCAAATAAGTTGGGTCCGATGTGGCAGCCAGGCAGGAACAGGGAGAATGTGGGAGAGGAGGTGGGCTGAGCTGCACAGGCTGCTGGGTCACATACGCATCATCCCTGGGGGAGATGACAAGGGGGGCCAGAGCAGAGGGGATCAGAGAGGGCAGGTCTAGGAAGGGAGTCCTGAGGAGCAAGGTCATGGTGGGAGGAAGGCCCAGCCTGGCCTCACAAATCCATGACCCAGCTACCCAGCTATGTCTGTGTTTCCTTCACAGACTCTAATTATTTCCCTGTGGGTGATTTTAATCCCCATCTATCTCCTCCACCTACCCATGAGCTCTGCAAGGGCAGGGATGGGGTCAGTCTTGAGCCCTGCTGTGGCTCCATGCCTAAGCATGGTGAGTGCTTATGAATGTTTGTTGAGTGACTGAGTAACTGACTCTGTGTGTATGTCTGAGAGAGTCTAGGTGTGGATCCCTCTCCCATGCCCCTCTCCACCTCCTTCCCAGCCTGTCCCCTCTGCAGAGTGGGCACCCCCAGCCTAGGCCCCCACAGCATCGCAGGGTGTGCAAGCAGCTGCCCCACTCTGGAAAATAATTAATAACACCGTGCAGTCCCTCCCTCTGTGGGGGACAGCTGGGGGAGATTTCACACATTCGGGCCTTCCAGAAACTTCCTCCCCTAGAACCACACCCTTACCCCCCAGACCCACTCCCACAGCCTGCTGGGATTCCTCAGCCTGCAAGGGGAGCCGAGGGGAGGGGGCTGCGGCCGAGGGCGGGCCCAGCTGTCCTTGATTTGTGTGGGATTTTTCCACTTGAGATGCCAGATTTGCCTGAGCACATAGAGGATGCAATTTCCTCCTGGGGAGGGACCCCTAAGAGACGTCTACCCACCTACCCCCAGAGCCCAGTTCAGCCTGGTAGGGAACAAGGGGGCCAGAAGGCCATGGGGAGTGGGGGGTGGGGGCGGGGCTCGTGCAGCACAGTACAGAGCTGACAGCAAGAACTTTTTAGGCGATGAAGGCTGATTGAATCCCAGCTCTACCCCTCCTAGCAGGTGACCTCGGCAGGTATCCAGCCTCTCTGAGCTTCATTTTCCTACTTTATAAAACAAAGATGACACCAGGGTGTGCAAGCAGCTCTTTGGGTGCCTGGCTTCTAAGCTCTTTATGATAAGAAGATAGTGGACATGTGACAGTGACCCTGACACAAGAAGGGATGCCCTGAAGCTGCTCCCACCCTGAAAGACCTAAGTACTTCATAATTCATCCTCCTGGGGGTCCAGGCTGGAGAGGAAAGGCCTCCCTAGTCTCAAGGTGTCCAGCCAGCCTGGCTTGCTGGAACCCAGGGTCTTGTTCCTGGTGACCAGCTAGATGTGGGGACACCATGGGACACAAGGGTTTGCCAGGGCAGACAATATTTCCAGCATCAGGAAGGACATATGAAGGGCCCCTTGGCAAGGAGTGGGGAGGAGCGAGGGCTTCCCCCAGCCACCCTGAGTGGTCACACACATGCATGGAGCCTGCCTAGGGCTCCAGGGTTTGCCAGAAGGAGCCAGACCCCTCTGCTGCACAGGGATGGCCCCCAGCTTGCTTCCAGCCACCCTCACTCCTTTCCCTTGGGTCTTCCTGGAGGGCTCAGCACAGACAGTGGGCCTTTTGCCACAGGCCCCTGCTTCTCCAGGAGA